GCAACAATCCAGCTGGAAACATAGGAATTGACCGGAGCAAATTATCCCAGCTGTTGCAATCTTTACCTATTCGGAGAAAATATATCAGTGCAGGGCAGTTTTAAGTTTTTATTATCAATATAGAACAGTTACAACTACTGAGACAATTTTTGTTAACTTAAGTCACAAACTAAACTAAAAGGGTCCCACAAAGTCTGAAAATTAGTTATCTTTTTTTCGGAATTGAACATATAAAACCAAATACATATTACAAAAATCAAAAAATTATCAAAGTTTATTTTTTACATCATCATAAACCTTCCACCGCATCCGGAGCATGTGCTTGTCGTCCCACCTACACCGTCATGGTCTGTTTTAAAGGTCACTGAGTCAGATTTTTTTTTCTGCCGCAACACTTCTCAACTGCATCTCTACTTTTTTGCCAAGATCCTTCCTTCTCCACCATAATTCGTCTATGTCATCGTTTTGACCTAAACTCTCGCCGTCGCCGTCGAAACGTCTCCTCTTCTCCTCACTGCAAAGTGAAGGTTCAAGCTTGGGATCACGTCCGGTCCTCAAGTTAAACTTCTTTTTAGTTTTTTACACGCTCTGAAACTGAAAAGATAAGTTAGAGAGCAACAATGGCTAATTTGGGCCTATTTGCATATTTGGTCCCTAAATTTATTTGTTATTTATTTTGTAACCCCAATACTTTTAAATGTGAAAATTGATTCTTAATTTAGTCACAAACTTTAGAAATTTTTTATTTTAATCTTTTGTAGTACAAATACATCTAACAAATACACATTAGAAATTACATTTTAACCTTCCTTAGTGTACACCAAAAATATATCCACTTGCACAAACCAACACCACATACACACGCACATCTAAAGAAGATCCGTCCACGACCTTTTTATGTGTACACATATGATCATCATCAAAGCATGCACCAAGAACCGCCCAGTCCCCGCGAACTCCGATACACTCAGGATTTTTCTCACCAACCTACTCATGCTACCCCACTTACACGGGAAACTGGGCCATTATTTGAGATTAAGGATGAAGAATTTGACATAACCTTGCTCTATGATGACCTCTCTTATGAGACTGATGATGTGTACATATGTATATATTAATTTGTACATCCGGCTTAATTCAGTTCTACATTGTAGTCTGTGCACATTCATTATAATCCATAAAACAAACCTTAACATGTACATGTTTGAATAATGTAGAACCATAAATTCACTTATCACATTTTCACCACACGTTATAAATTATTTTTCTTGATTGAAATTTAGGCGTACACATGTACACTCCTAAAACATGTCCACATGTACGGATTTACTAGTCACATTCTGCTTAGTTAGGCATCCACATTAAACGTGCTCATGTATGTGAAAGAAACATGTACACATCTGCGTATCACATATGTTAGAACACATGAATATGCAAAAATTATCAAACCCAAGAACAGCCCAGTCCCCGCGAACTCCTACACAAACTCCAAATTTTCTCACCAACCTACTCTTGCTACCCCACTTACACGGGAAACTAGGCCATTATTTGAGATTAGCGATGAAGAAATTGACATACCTTGCTCTATGATGACCTCTCTTATGAGACTGATGATGTGTACACATGTGCATATTAATTTTTACATCCGGATTAACTCAGCTCTACATTGTAGTCTATGCACATTCATTATAATCTACGAAACAAGTTTTAACATGTACATATTTGAATAATGTAGAACCATAAATTCACTTATCACATTTTCACCACACGTTATACATTCCTTTTTTTGATTGAAATGTAGTCGTACAAATGTACACTCCTAAATAATGTCCACATGTACGCATTTACTAGTCACATTCTACTTAGTTAAGTGTCCACGTTAAACATGCTCATGTGTGTGAAAGAAACATGTACACATATGTGTATCACATATGTTAGAACACATGAATATGCAAAAAATATCAAAGTATACACATAATGTATTATCCACAGAGACTAAGATACAAAATTAATAAAAAGTGATAAAAATGAACGTATATTGAATAACATAAAACTCATTTCCCATGTATAGTTTTCATTCTTATCATTTAAATTGATAATATTTGTATACATGTTTACTTGGTTATGGTACATTATTTTAATAATAAAGAGTGTATATATGTGATGATGTACACATGCAGACATATAATTGTACACATGTAAATTTTGGTTTTTGCTTTAATAATAAATAGTGTACACATATGACGAGTGTACATTGTTTTAATGATAAAGTGTACATATGTGAAGATGTACACATGTACACATATAATTGTACACATTTTTTGAAACGAGTGGCAATTTTGTAATTAAGTCATCTTCTTCCTATTAGGGTATCCTGTGTTTCTTCAACTCAACCTCAGAGCCGCCATTGATTTTTCTTCATGCAATCTTCATTTTTTTTTATCTCAGAAACTTAAAAATATTGTAGTCATTAATCAATTAGATCCAAAAACCAAATGAAAAAAAAAAATTCTCATAATTTTTAAGTTTTGACAGATTATAACCAAAACCCCATAGGTCTTCTTTGTCCAGCATCAACCCGCTTGGATTCGAGCATGACGATTACGATGCAAGGGTTGCGTCTATCTGAACATGTTGCGACGAAGAGGAGAGTGCATTCCTTTAGCAGGGATAGATTATAGAATAAAAGTGGAGGAAGAAGCTTGGTTGCGGTGCTTACAGCTCTAAAAGGATGATACATGGTGATGAATCACGAGAAGAATAAATTTTTCAGAGAAGAAAAAGTCAGATCTGTTTTTTTTATTTTTTAATTGCTAACTTAAACCAAAAGAAACTAAACAAGTAAACTCTAGTTTTCATTTGGTTAGAAAAAACTGTCTCTATAGCAATAACTGCCTTTTTATGATATAAAAACTCAACAACTGTTTTTTTATGAAATAAACTCCTTTTTATTTTGGAACTTGCTCTTCTTTTATTATTATTTTTTATTGGGCAACTTTCCCTTTTTAGGCTAAATAAAACATCTTTCTTAGAATATTATAATTCGTATAGTTGACTCAATCCAGTGAGTTATAATATCTATTCGTATAAAGCGAGCATGCGCGAACAAGTCCAAGATCTCTACTAGCAGGAGAACATCGCGTTTGGTTTATTTTTAAAGTAATGTGAGATTTTCTCGAATAAGTCTTTTGCTAGTGCTATTGGTTATTCGATACAACTATTGTCACATAAGAAACATTAATATAAAGAAGCCCAAGAAAAAATCGTGTTTAGTTGGGTGGGAACTTTCTGAATGACTGAATGGCACCTCGTTATTCAAGTCATTAACACAAATATCATCATTATTCTCCTTAGATATATATCCATTGACTTTTCCATTTTACATGAGTTTGCATGAATTTTCCATTTAAAATAATTTATTCATTGAATCGAATATCATTATGCAGTATACAGTACATACGATGTCACGTACAGGGAAAAGTTGAATTCGTTTTGAGAATGAAAACTGCCTAGATCCAAAAGTTGAATTCGTTTTGAGAATGAAAACTGCCTAGATCCATCATTTACCTAATAACTTTTTCAAAATGCCCGTTACTCTTTTTTCTTCTTCTTTTGACATCTCCCGTTACTCATTTCAACTTCATCCATGCGATGCTTTTGATATTTAAAAAATCATTATTATTTTCGAAGTTCTTTTTGTAAGTGCAAAGATAACACTATAATATAGTAATGCAGAAGATAAATCAAGAGACAAAACAATACAAGCAACACAATGCTTTATTAAAATCTCTTTTAAACAATCTATTATAAGATCGGTTTATTCAGTTTTTGCATGCTTAGTGTTAATATCCTAATACACGTCACTGAAAAATTCCTAAACTATCCTCTTGTGTCTTTATCATCAAGTACTTCAGCCACTGCTTCAGCATGATCCAAGAATACTATAAGAGTTTTTTTCTCTCTCTCTATAAGATCAGCCTCTACAGACAACCCCATAGCTATCTTATACTTATTCTCCACATTCCTGAAATCCTAGTCTACAAGGAATACAATATGGACATCTTCCATAACATTAAGTATAACTTTACTTTTATAATGCACTTATTCCTATTTCCTTAAGTCATAAACCTCTTGCATTTTCTCCAAAATACACCTTTGCTCTCAAAATCTACACGACTCCAGCTCAACATCTTAACTCCACATAGTTTTCACCATTCAACATGACATTTGCTTCATCAACTACTTCAGGGCAGAAATCTTACATCAACACTTTTATATAGTCATATATTATCATCACATATCATATATATATATATATATATATATATATATATATAAACATATAGCATATGGTTTAAATAATTAAGATTTGTTGTGTGGAATCTTTTTTAGGATGTTTTGTATTTTGATTTTTTATGTTTCAGAATGTGCTAAAACTTATTTTCCGTGCATTTTTCTTGTAATTACAAGTGGACCTTAACAATCACAATTTTTTCCATTGAACTTGGACTTTAGTCATTGATTTTTTTGTTAAGATAAAACTGAGTCCCGCTGAATTCTAATTTTGAGAAGGATGGCGATAATTATTTATATATATGGTTCTTTATAACAGAAACTTATGAATCGAGAAGATATCATGAATATCTCTTATGTGATCACTTATATATATATAAAGAAAGAAAAGATGAATACATATATCACGTAACACTCAGGAAATTCGCATTCACATATTCTTCTACCTATACATAACTTTGATTATACATGTATATCCTAATAAACCACACCAAAACTGAAAAACCAACCCGAATTACCTTCAAACCCAGTCTTAAAACATTTAAAAATAGATACTGATTTTTTAATAATAAAAAAGAGAATAAAATACTATGTTGATAGTTAAGTTCCGACAACTTTAACTAAAGTACCCCATGTGATTGTGTAAGGCAAAATATCATGAAAGGGAATTAGAAAGATAATTTATAATCTCTTTTGATCATTTTGTTTCACCATGAAGATCCTTCACCTGTAGTACTGAACATCCCACTCCAGTATCCATTATTAGGGCTTGAATTATTATTATTACCATGACTCTTATGTTGTTTATCATCATCAGAAGCAACTTCTTGTGTTATGCTTGATGAAAGCTCCTTCATTTGATCCCCAAAAGGAAATAAAACCCTATCTTGATGATGATCACTATGAGCATCACCTGAACTATTGTTGTTGTTGTTGTGTCCGAGCCCTTGATGATCAGTAGAGAAAGTTAGATTACTTGTTTTGTAATCCACCATCGTCGAAAACCCTGAAGAAGTGTACATCACATTGTTTGAAGAACCCATCATTAGACCAGAAGGTATAAAAGAGTTGATCCCTGATCTTGATGAAATATTAACTCTTGTTCTTAAAAGTTCAAGAGCTGAAACAGGAGACGACGAAGAACCATAGTGAGAAGATGAAGATGACGGCTGTTGATGAGTACTCATGTTGCCATTTCCTTCCATCTTATGCATCTGAAGAAACTTAGACATGTGAACATGTTGATGGTGATGTTGGTCTTGCATGACCGGGAAAGACAACAAGTTGAGATCTTGTGAAGACCCTTTTGAATTATTAGGGATTTGGTTTGAGAAGATAATTGGTGGGTTTAGATCTGGAAGTGTTGTAGTTAAAGCAAGTGAAGATGGTATTGTCTGAAGGATATTTGATGATGATGAAGAAGAAGAAGATGATCTCTTGTTCTTTCTTGAACTTCCTCCGACAGGAACATTCCTAAGAGATCCACCTTCGGTCCAATACCTTCGACAACCTTTGCAGAAGTATCTTGGTTGCGTGAGACTATAATTGTTGTAGTAACAAAACTTTGTGTTGGTTGAGTTACATCTTGGACAATTTAGTTTCTCTTGTGGTCTTGCTTTCCTCTCCACCACAACCGATGTATTGTTGTTATTGTTTACGCCGGAGACGGTGGCTCCTGCGGCTGAGATGCCGCCGCTAGATGTGAGAACGGTGTTTGGCCTTGCATTGGTGCCTGATTGATGAATGTTGTTATTAGGAATCATGATTTGCTCCATTGGTTTTACGTTCATCATTTCTTGGAAGCCCTAGAAACATTAAAATTGAAAGAGCTAATTAGAGAAACCCCAAAAAGAGCTAAGTTAGAGTTTAATATTGAAACCTATAGAGCTGGGCATCATGCTTCTCAATTTTAAACACTGGTGTGGTCAAACAGAAAAATAAAACATGTATATCAGATTTTCCTTGTTTGGTATCCTATTGAACTATATAGAATTTGGTCTATATTTAAAAAGATGAACACCAAGAACAAAAGGGTAAATAACAAAGTATGACTTTTAATTATTACTAGCCTTTGACCCGCGCACCCGCGCGGGTATTTGTTCTTCATAATTATATGTATTTAATAATATCATAAACATAAATGTTTATGTGTTTCTTATATATGTTATTGAGTTTTGATATTCGTATATCTTGTTAATGTGTTTGACATCCATTTATAAATTATGAGATTGTGTTTTTATTTTATTGTGCACTGATTCATTTTATTTAGTAATTAGAGTTTTAAATATATTTTTGGGTTTTATGAAATATATTTGTTGGTTTTATGAAATTATACTATAATCTCTGGTTTTAAAGTTGAATGAATATAAAGTTCAAATTTTATATTGAAATATTTAAAAACAAATACATTATTCAGACAGAAACAAAATATAACATATATAACATTATGTTATGTTTGTTTTATATTAAAAGCTAATGTGATATTTTACGAACCTTTGGACTATATAATGGATTTTGAATTCAAAACCCATAAAACACACAAATCTGGTCCAACTTAAATATTGTGATTAAAGTCCATTGACTAACTAATTTCTGGAAAGTTCTCTACAAGTTTATGTCGGCTCTCTCTGGTCGGTTCTTCTTCATGTTCAGAGAAAAAGAATAGAAGAGATTTGTTAGCCAATCTATTTACTCAATGTTAGAATCTTACTTGTTATTGGTTAGGTTTTCTGATCAAAATAGTTCTTTTAGTGTCAAGAGTACAAAAACTATTATTTATCAAAATTGTTCGATTTTGATCTCTTGTTAGTAGATCTTTGGTTTCGAAGAGTATTTCGGTCAACACCTTGCTAGATCATCGACATGCAAGCAAAATGATATTTTCCTAAATTTTTTGTTTAGTTTAACATTCAGGTAAATATTGACATATATCTACTCTCTTTTTTTTTGTAGATCGGCCATCTACTTCATGTAAAGTGAGATACAGATTTGAAATTGAAAACAAAACCAATAAAGTTGAACAACTCGGCGAAAAATACGACTCGTTAGGACCAAAATACAGGCGACATGAAAATACGTAAAATAAGTTTGTAATTGTTTACTAAATATGGTAAACAACAGTATTATTGACATCCGAATTCTTAAATTCTTTTCCTCTGGACAGTTGATTCTTGATAGCTACTTTTACATTATATATAATTGTAGAGTTCAAATTGGAATGACTATGTTGTCTATTTCATTATAGAGTTAAATTTTGCAGCCAAATCTAACATACAACTGTAATTGTATTTGTTTGGACAGGTCTAAAGCAGTGTTGGTTCAGTACTCTCGGATTGAACTCAGAACATGTGAGTTTTTTTGCAGGAAGCATGGATTTGTTTCCCTACAAAAAAAAACACGGGTACCATTAAAAAAATCTTAAAGCAGTAACATGTTAGAATGCAATTAACGTTTAGAAATAATGATTTACCCATTGGTCTACTAATACCATCTCGAAGGTTTCTCTTCCAAAAGAGGTGTTCTGCTTCCACGAAAGTAAGCACTAAACTTGAACTTGCCAGTTTGATTTTAAAGGTTTAAATTTTGAGAGATAAGTAAAAGTAGTCATCCTGGACATTTTAGGATGCTCTCAATAACATGGTTTTAACGTTATTGATGAAGATATATATATATATATATATATATATATGGCTAAGGAAAGGGTATGGTAAATGCAAAATTGTTATTAAAGATTTTTCTGGTTGTGATTTTCACACATTGAAAAGCGAATATACTTTTCGATCTTTTTTCAAAATTCCTTCCTCTTATAAAAACTTATCATAATAATGAGAATATTTGTTTTAAATGATTAGATATTATACGTGATTTGCAAGATATGAAACTAAATAAGAATCTTGTGTTAGTTGATTGAGATCGTAATTGTTAAGATGATTACTTAAATATAGGTAAAGATTTAGGAAACTCATTTTTTGAAAATTGTCAACTATTTCTTGTGATGTTGAATTATATAGTTCGTAGTGATAGTATCATATTGTTTAAGTTTGTTTTGATTTTGAATTAATTAATGTCTAATATATCAATAATGATCCAAATATCAATATCTTGTATCTTTCTAATATATTGGTTTTGGTTAGGTAGACCAAGATTACCGAGGTAACACCTACAATGAAATTCGATGGTTAGGTATAGTTATGAAAATGTATATGTGAATTTATCTATTGACTCTTTTGATGCTGTAAACCAAGAGAAAAAATCAATATCTTAAGTATGTCACTCGATGTTTTATTAATGGTGTATGACAATATAAAACGAAGAGGAACATAGCGATTGTAGTTGGGCCGGTTTTGTAATATTATACTTTAGTATGGCATTGTGATGTTATGGTTTAGTATGGTTTTATAATTTGATGGTTCGGTACAAATAGCAAATGTACGATCTGTTTAAAAGAAATAACAAAATTACAATGTTTAATATCAGTGGCATTCTATTGTAATATTTGAGAAAAACTAAGGGGTATTATCTAGTTGTACTTCAGTTTTAATAGATTAGATTCTATCCATTCATTTGCAATGTATAACTAATGATTAGCTACATTAAAAGGCTGAGAAAATGTGTTGTGAGCTATAATATTATCCCTAATCTATTTTCAACCTCGAAACCTTACAAAAAAAATCCATGCAATTTTCATTGAAATAGGTGAAACCCTCAAGCAATATATCTATATGACCACAAGTCCACAAAATCATATCATCACCATCATATTGATATATATTAACGACATATGCATACACATAAATATGCATATAATTAAGAACGAAATCTTTCGTGGAAGATAGAAAGACAAGAGAGAGAAAGGAAGAAGAAAACAGAAGAGAAGAGGCAACAAAAGGAAGATCTTATAAGTACCTGTGTCCACTTCGTAGCGTCCATGACGACAAAGAGAAAGCAAGAGAAAGAGAGATAGAAAAATATGTGTGGGTTTTGAGTAAAGGCCAAAGAGGAGAATGTCTTTGAGACTTTTTTTTTTGCCTTTTGCTTTGTTTGCGAGTGATGGCTTTTCTATGCGTTGCCGTTCACTTTATGGATGATGAAAAAATGAGCCAGCGAAGAAGACGGAGAAGAGTAGCACCAAATTTTTAAGTCATTTATATATCTAAGAGAATATATCTTTCCTTTTTTAAGTAGAGGATATATCTAATAAATAAACATTTTTCTCATGCATTTTAATTAGAAGAACCGTGATAAAACTATAGATATATACATACTTTCTAGTGAATTTGTTCTATTGGGCTATATTTGAATATGATCTATTGACTGTTAAAAATTTGGAAATAAAATATGTCTAATAACGTAAATGTAAAAAAATCTAAATAACATTTTATATTTGCTTTTTTTTTAACGACTTCATTTTATATTTGCTAAAAGTGACATTTCAGCATTTATTATGCCATATAGATATGATCAGTGTGAACTAAATTGTTTGTTTTAGAGATCTAACACTATTAAAAGTGCTTAATAAAGCCTTTTGAGAGTGTCCACGTCGGTCTGGATAATCAACCAGTAGGAGAGCTTCTTTCGTCCACGTCACATCCATGTCATCCGTTCGATTGGGCTACAATTTTTTTTGGGTTTTGGGCCTCAATTTCCTTGCGTCGGCCTGTTACGTGAAGACAAGGAATGTCTGAGACGAAACCCTTATTTTGTCGCTCTCCTCTTCCTTTTACGATTCCTCTTGCGTTTCAGATACCCTTTCTTCGATTATCTTCTATTCAATCAGTTTCAGCTAATTACGTCACCAATATTTCCCTAATCAATCCTTTCTCTAAATCATTCAATGGATTCTTTTCAACTTATTTCAAAATCGAAGCTTTTCGATTCTTTTGGTGAGAGTGGGTTTTAGGCAAGTCATGATATCACTATGAACAGTTTAAAAGTAAACTTGCAGGTTCACATGTAAATCAAACTTCTGATTTGATTTTCAGTTTTCAATTACTTGAATACTTATGCTCTGTTTTGTTTTGGGTTATAATGTTTTATGTGGCAGAGTCAGTAAGGACAACAAAGTGAACATTATGGAGAAAACAATGTAAGATTTACAGCCATTGAGGCAACAACACTTTTCCCGGCTGATGAAAGAGCTCCAAGGGACTGATTTGTGGAAGCTGCGGCGAGCTTATTCCCTAGGGCCAGTGAGATAAAAACCACTCATCTTATGGAACCATTTTGGTTAACTAATATATGATGTATGTTGTTTATGTGACTTGCAGGTGCATAAATATGTTGAAGCTGCACAGTTCTGTGTCTGAGACACTTTCTACTCTCTATAAGGTTAACGCTAGGCTTTCACCGCTTAGTGGCCCTTCTTTAGAGCCACTGAAAATCAATATTATCAGGAAATGTAGACTCTCTTGATCTATGTTTTCATCTGCTAAAAAGTTCTGCTATTTTTTTGTGTTAGATTGCAGTGAATCTGATGTGAATGACCAGTTTTCAAGGTTACCACTGAAGATTGAAGCACTACAAAAGGTTCTTCTTAGCCAAGCTAATGGAAGGCATCCTGGGTTGTGGAATTTCTTCTTAAAAATGGTATTTTTCCCTTGCTTCTCTTTACTCTCCATTATTTACTTAACATATCCATTTTGCTCCTTGATATAGTGACACATGAGAGCTTACTTAGCCTTACATGTATGTGTGTCCGCTATGGTCTCATAACGTTTATCAACTAACAGAGTCATAGAAGATGAGAGTATGAAGAAAGTTTCTTTGTCTTTGTGCTGCAATTTTTTAAAAAATG